TGAGCCCGATCGTCGGCGTGGAGACGAAGTAGAGTAGCGCTCGATTGAGTTCTTCGAGATCTTCCTGTTGCGGCTGCTTCAGATGTGTCGCCAGCTGGCTCGCACTATAGGATAGGTCGGGTCGGCAGGTTACTGTTGCGAATAGTAGACAGCCGAGCTTCTGTTGATACTCCTGGATTTGTTTCGCGGGGAGTTTTGTGGAGGCGCTACTGTTGTTCCCGTAGCGGTAGGGAGTTGGGACCGCAGTCGGTGTTAGACCGAATTTCTTCGCGACGGTGCTTGAGTACTTTCCAGCGTGTAGGTAGAACGCCGTGTCGTCTTCGACGACGTTCAGTCCTAGGTACTGCGTCACCTCGTCGGACACCGTGAGCGTCAGGTCCCTTTTCAGCTCCCCTTCAAACCAGGTGACGATGTCGGTGGTAGAACCGATGTAGAGCAGGTCGTCGACGTAGACGATGAGCAGAATGTAATCTCTTCCCTTCTGTAGTCGGTACATGCCTTGGTCATGTGGTAGCTGTAGGAATCCGATTTTTACGAGCCGGCCGTGAAGGTGCTGCTGCCAGAGCCGTGGGGCTTGCTTGATCCCGTAAAGGGATTTTTCCAGCTGGCATACTTTTGAAGGGTCGTCGATGAATCCGTGGGGTTGTTCGACGAAGATTTCGGCGTCCACAGGTGCGTACAAGAAGGCGTTTGCAACGTCGATTTGCCGTAGTGGTAGTTTCTTCGTGGCCGCGATGGCGAGTAGGATGCGCAGAGAGGTGTGACGGGAGACTGGAGCGAAGGTTTCTGTGTAGTCGGTTCCGTATCGTTGATCGAAGCCTCGTACGACCCATCGAGCTTTGAATCGTTCGATGGAGCCGTCTGAGTTGGTCTTGATGCGGTACACCCATTTCCCCGAGAGAATGTTCTTCCCGTTGATGCTCGTTGCAGGTACCAGTTTCCATGTTTCTCGGTCTTGCAGAGCTTTTAACTCTTTTTCCATCGCTTCCTTCCATTGTGCCTTATGTTCCCCCCCAGAGCCTGCGACAGGGTCGACGGCTCGCGCGGAGAAGGCGGCGGCGGGTGCTGGACGGAGACCCATAGTCCTAGGATCTGCAGTCCCGTGGCTGTGTGTCGAGGGGAGTTTTCATTCTCGGGATAAGCTGCTTCATCACCGTCTTCAGGATCGGGTAAGAAGTTTGGCCCGATGCGTTCGGAAATATTCGAGTCGACGGGGTGTGGTGTAGCGTATCCTTGGTCAGCGAAGTGGTAAAAGGTGTCGAGGTTGTTGCTATCGAGAGGATTATCTTCATCGAGTGGAACAGGTACGGAGCAGTAGGGGAGTGGTCCGGCAGCCTCCGAGGCTCCAGGGACGTCTTCTTCTGCTGCGTCAGCCTCGGCAGCATGGTCAGCGAAGGAGCGAAGGCCCGCGAAGCCGTCGGTGGGGTCGTCTGAGTTGGCAATGTTGTCCAGGTAATGCTGCAGCGTCAGTCGCTCGTAGAAGATAACATCACGTGATGCCACCGTATTTTTGTCGTGTATGTCGAGAATCTTCCACGCGTGAAAATGTTTGGCGATGCCGAGGTGTAGTCCCCACCGAGCTCGTTGAGTGAAGCGTCCTGCTCGAGCTGTGTGGGGTCTGTATTGTACCATGCAGCCGAAAACTCGAAGTAATTTTGTGCTGCCCCTTTTTCCCGTCCACAGCAGGTGCGGTGATGCGTTGTTGGGGAGCGATGACGAGGACAACAGGTTGTGCAGGTGGACTGCATGTGTCATCGCGTCTGGCCACAGTGTATTGGGCAGCCTCATCCCCAGAAGCAGTTTTCGCATCGTCGTCTGCAAGGTCCGGTTCATGCGTTCTGCTACCCCCTGCTGCTGGTGAGCATAGGGCAGAGACACCAGGCGTCGGATTCCCCTTTCCGCGAGATAGGTCCTGAAGCGTTGTGACTGGTATTCCAGTGCACCGTCTGACTGGAAACTCTTGAGTTTGGTTCCTGACTCTCGTTCGGCGATTGGAAGCCATGTGGTGAAGGCCTCGAAGGCTTGATCGCGCGTTTTGAGATTGAAGTGCCAGACGTATCTGGTTGCGGCGTCGATGAACGTGATGACGTAGTTGAAGTCGGCTTCGGTGTCGTCTCGAGGCATGTTTAGAATATCGCTGTAGACCTTTTCCATCGGAGCGTAAGTGGGTGCACTTGGATTGTGATGGGCTGGGAAAGGTTGATGAGGAAGATCTGCTTCGGGGCACGTGAAGCATCGTGCTCTTGGTCGGCGAAGTTCTTGGCCGCTCGTCGTTAGAAGGGCGTTACGTTCTAACACCTCTGCTTGTATTGTTTGTAGTATCGTGCTGTTTGCAGGATGTCCGAGACGTTGGTGCCAGATGTCGTCGGGAGCGCGGTGACCGGGCGAGCGGTGGTAGATGTCGGCGTTGGAGAAGAACGCGACGACCGAGGCGGGACTTCGACAAGCTTCTCGTGTGGCGGGCATAAGTTGGTCTGCTTCCGTTGGCGGTCCTCGTGTTGATGGTGGTGGTACTCGGCTGGGTCCTGCTGCCGATACTGCAGGTGATGGTTTTGTTGGGACGCTTGCTGGTACTTGTCTTTCTTGTCTGATAACTGCTAATGCCCGTGTTCTCTCTGCTGCAGGTATGGTGTTGGAGTGCCAGAAGCCGTCGCTGTCGAAGTCGGGATCAAGATCTGGTGGGTGAGTCCAGGCGGCGAACGATACGATGCCATCGCTGTCGGCAGTTCCGCGGTCGGGGACGAAGTCCAACACGAAGACACCGGACTTCAGGAGGGCACGACCGATGAAGAGACCGCCCTTCCCGTGGTAAAGTCGGAACTCGTTGGAGAAGGAGTCACACTCCAGGTGAATCCCCTTAGCCATTAGTTGGCTTACGCTTAGTAGGTTGTATCCCAGATTGTCGACGATGAGGACTTTGTTGAGCTGAAGAATAACGTTTGTCTCCATTGATTGTAACTGAACCACGCCTTGCCTGTTTGTTTTCAGGTTTTCGTTGTTGGCGACGGTGATGACGACGTCGCGGTTGAGGCGTCGCTCGTGTTGTACGAAGCGTCCGGAGGAGCACATGTGCTGACCGCAGCAACTGTCCAAGAACCAGGTGTTCCGCCCGGTGGGTTCGGCGTTAGCGACTGCAGCGTATGTCGGGTTGACCTGAAGTCCTTGCGAGCGCGGCGGCGGGAATTCCTCTTCGTCTGGTGCGTAAGTGGGTGGTGAAGCGGGTGCGCAGTTGTCGATGTGTACCATGCAGTTGATGATGTTGGGTGTTTGTTGTGCAGATGTTGAAGAACGCCTTGGAGGACTTGCTTGAGTGGAAGCGACTTGTGGGTCTGCTGCACGGTAAACGCGAGGGCGGTTGCAGTTGACCTTGGAGTGCCCGGAAGTCTGACAGTTGTGGCAGAACGGCGGCACGATGGTGAGTCCTCGGTTGTCGCGTTGATCTTGCTTGCTGCGTCGGTTGTAGTTGTTGTCATTTCTTCTTTGAGTGTAGAAGACTAACTGCTGTTGCTTCCTTGGTTGTCTTTCCTCGAACAGATCCATCTCCTGTTGTTCAGCGTGAAGCTCGGCGCAGAGGTGCATCTCCGAAATTCTTCCGTGGGCTCGAAGAAGTGATCGTGTGGTTCTCCATTCTGGCCCGAGCCCGGCGAGGACAAGTGTCACGAAGCTTTCTTCAGTGATCGTTCCTCCGCACCGAAGCAGGCGGTCGCGGAGGGTCTGGCAGCGACTCATATACTGCATCGCCTTTTCCCCGGTCTTCATCTGTATTGTTGTCAGCTGTTGCATGAGTCTGCTTTGTGTCACGCTGTCGTTTGCTTGGTAAAGGCATTTGAGGTGGTGCCATGCGAGCTCCGCGGAGTTTCCATAACTCCGATACGTTCTGATGCTCTGCTGCTCTTGTGGTGACAGGTTTCTCAGGAGTACCGTGTACGCCAGCAGCGACTGATACGTGAAGATCTCTTGTTCCTTCCCAGTGCCGTTGCTTGGGAATGGCAGGGACCCGTTGAAGTATCCTAGAAGATGCGCGGCCTCCATCAGCAGCTCAAACTCGAAGCTCCAGGTAAAGAAGTCGTGTCCGTTGAACGGTGAGGATGTCTGAAGTTTGATCACGTGTGAGAACTGCGCCTGTAAACTTAAGATTTCATTCGGTGTTTGTTGTGAAGCAGCTGCTGTTGGCTGGGCACGGGGCGGCATGAATTCGAACGTCCCCGGCGAAGAATGATAAGGCGCAAAGGTAGGCGCTTGGTTGTGTCGCCCGAAGGATGAGTTGTCGAGGCTCATCGGCGCTAATCCCATATTCCCTCCATTGCTCTGTGTTGAGTGCGCAGGTGTCCTTGTCTGCTGCTGCTGGTCGAAGTGTGACATGAAGCTGAAGAATCTCTCCATGAGATTCGGGTCCACACTTGAAGAGGGAGACGGAGTCACCATCTCTGGTACTCTTCCCGTTGTTTCTTGAGTAGTCCCGGTCTCTGTCTGCAGTCCTGAGGTGTGCAGACCAGAGTTGCCGTGTTGAGTTTCTTGGGCGCTGGGTGAGCCCGTAGAGACTTTCTTGCCCTTGTTGTCCATGTCTTGTAATCAATGGAGTTGTTGAATCAAGTTGAGTTGCTGGTTGTTGATGGAGTGTAGTTGCTGGGAGTTTTGATCTCTGACCAGCTCTCATACCATGTTGGGCTGAGAAAAGCCCTTAGGATCTTTTGCAGAGACTAAGTCCCAGCTGTAGAGACTTGAGACTTGGAGTAGTGCAGCGGAAGTTGAGGCAGTTGAACCCTTGTACTAGTATGTGAGAACAAGTGATTGATTAAAGAAACAAGCATACAGCAATATATAGAAGATAAGGAAGCAGTTGTAGAATACAGTTACAGGAACGGTTTATCGAGTCGCACAGCGACTCGATTGCCGCTTCGGTTACCATCCGTGATGTTGTAACGGTCAGTCGCAACCTCCAGTTGCGACCTTTCGAGTCCTTTCGCATTCTTTGTCCGCCCCCTCGTGTAACCTCCGTTGACTCGCGTGCTCCCCTGTAATCTTCCTCGAGTACAGTGTTACACTTCAGAAACGCTTAAGTCCTTGAGATATTTCCAACATATACAATATGCGGTACACCTAGAGAAGATGATGTACAGCAAGTGTCATGCCGACCAATGCAGAAACGGTAGCAGACAGTCAGCCAACCACCACGCTTCCTGCCTCCCACATCATTCCAGCAGTGTCACTCGCGTCCTATTGTCACCCCCCTTCTCAAACAGTAAAAAGTCCACCACAGGCTCATGCCCCACGCCCCCACCTTCTCCTCCACACGCCCCTCCTCCCCATGTCACAGTCAACAACTCCAGACTCCCTCTCCCGCCCACAACCTCTCTCTCCCCGCCACCACTTCCCCCACTCCCATCCCCTCCCTCACTGCCTCGGCCCCTGTGCCACTGTGTCACGGGCAACTCCTCCCCTTCAATAAACGGCAGCAGCATGATCTTAAACCCCGGCTCCACCACCTGCTTCCTCTCTATCTCCACCCGCCAGTACTCCGCGCCTGTGGCCACTCCAGCATAATACGGCCCCTTCCCACTCCCTGGCCCCTGGGGAGAGTGGCTGTCTTCCACTTTCACGAGCCGGATGGGTGCAGAGTGGTGCCCGTCGCCCTGCAGCACGCGGAGCAGCATGCGTGGCGTGCCTGGGAGAGCGTGGCGTGTCTTGGGGTGGACGTCGTCCCCCCGGATGAACACAGCGTCTGTGGTTGGGTCCAGAGAGGCGTACCGACTGGCTTCTGATGGGGAGATGATCACCACATCACTTGCTGCTGGCGCTGCTGCTGCTGCTGCTGCCGCTGGTTTTCCTGCCACTGCTGCGCCTGCTTGCTGCTTCTGCGGGCCTGTGAGCAGGAAGAGGCGGTGGCCGTACCCCACATTGGCCATGTACGGCTGCGTGGTGTTGGCCACCCATGTGTACGTGTGCGCCCTCTCGTCCTTTCGAACATCATCCACTATTATTGCGAACGGCCGCGACAATGGGTGCGACGACGAGTGGCCGGGGCCAGGACCACTGGAAGACGACAGCGGGGAGTTCGCGGGGCATGTCTTGGTGTCCTTTCCTGTGGTGTTGCCCGAGCCTGACCCAGCAGCAGAGCATGTGCCTGTGTGCACGTGGCTGGCCTTGGGTCGGATGAGCGCGGCAGTACGGAAGGCGTAGCGCACGGGGTTGAACTCCTCGCGAGCGCAGATGTGCCACGATGCCCACGCGTTGTCCTCCACCCACTCTGGCTCCACCACGGGGTCGACCCCAGCAGCGCCCTTCTTGATGATCTTGGGCACCAGTGAGGGGCCGAAGTCCACGGGCTGGTAGTAGAAGTCCTTCCACGCGTATGGGGTTTCAATGTTGTTGTCATCCTGTGGGCGTGCCGCAGGGCGAGGCACCTGGCGCAGGGAAGGGGAGGAAAAGGGCATGGTAAGGTGAATGGCGAATGGCCAATGACTGATGAACGGCAGGGCGAAGCGAGGCACAGGGAGTGGAAAGGGAGGGGGGAAAGGGGGTCGGTAACGAGCATGCGTCCAGCCACTCATGGCAGGCAGAGCAGAGTACCTCCCAAGGGACGCTGTCTTCTCCGCATCTGTCCAGACCCCCACTGTGCCTACTCTGCCTACTGCGATGACTCAAAGACCTAACCTCTCCCATGGCTGCTTCTTCCCAGCAGACGAACCAGCGCTGAGGCAAGGTGCTCGAGTCCATGCTGGCTCCCAGCAGCAAGTGCACACTCTAGAGACGGAATCCACACGCCCCACGGCACGTCCACCCCTGCTAGGAAGTACGCCTCTGCCCACCAACCCACCCGCCCACCCGCCCACCCACCCACACATACCCAACTACCTTCACACTCAAGTTCCCCCCACCCCTCCTTCTCACCTGCCATCCCTTGGTGACAAACCGGTACGCGGCACTGGCATCCCCGGCAAAATAGCTCATGCGCTCCTCATGCCACGTGGCCACCACCTTCCCCGGCATGCAGCTCCACGTCAGCGGGAACCCCTTGGCCTGCGTCTCCAGTGTGTGGCTCCCACCCTGCCCCAACCCGTCAATGAGAATCGACGCACACGCCTCATTTTCCACGTTGTGGTACGGAGCCGGGCAGATCCAGGCGCGGGAGCAGCCCAGCAGGTAGAAGTCGTTGCGCGACGCGTGGCAGTGGTCGAGAAAGTAGGTGTCTGGGCGGCACTCGAAGAAGAGGAGGAGGCCCTGCTCGTCCGTGCTGACATGGGGAGGACCGGAACGCGGGCTGAGAGAGGGGGAAGAGGAGGGCAGAGGGATGCGCGGAGGAGGGATGACAGGGGCTGGGGAGGGTGGAGGAGCAAGGGCAGCTTTTTCGCCTGGCTGCGCTGCTGCTGCTGCAGCGGCGAGTTCTGCCTCCCACCCACCATCCTCCCACCTGTCACCGCCAGCACCAGCAACGCAGGAAGCAGCAGCAGCAGCACCGGTTCTGCCGTCGCCCCACCCGGACCTAGCCGTGCCGGTGCCGAGCCTGTTAGCAAACAGCACGAGCGGAAGGCCAGCCGCCGAGGCCACCTGCAGGAACGATACATTCCTGGCCGTGACATCCATGCCCAGCAGACACGTCTGAAACGGCATCTTGTTAACCCCAAACCCCCCAATCACCTTTGTCCGTGGCTGCGTATTATACTTCTGGTACACAAAATCGGTCAGGGGGTCCCCTGGGAAGAGGTACTTAACTAAGAGGTAGTACTCGCTCTGGGAGAAGCCCCCGCAGAAGCAGGTGCCGTCCTGCGCGCCGAAGCAGGGCGGTGCGAGCGACCAGGGCGCGAGGGTCTGGAAGACATCCATGAGCAGCTGGTACGTGTTGGTGAGGTCGCCGAACATGTCGTGGCCGCGGCGGGTGACTGCCAGGATGGGGAAGGCTGCCTGGCGCATGGGGGTCATGAAGTAGCCGGGGAACTCACGCGTGACGCCTGGAGGGAAGGGGAGAGATTTAATGCATTCCTGGTGGGCAGTTACACTGGGAGCACGGGGCTTGCGAGTACGGGCAGAAACGGTTGGGTACAGGCCCAACGGGAGGAGGTGGTCAATGGAAGGAACGACATGGGATGGCATGGGATGGCATGGGATAGCAGGGGATGGCATGGGATAGCAGGGGATGGCACGAGATGGCATGGGATGGCATGGAATGGCATGGGATGGCACGAGATGGCACGAGATGGCATGGGATTGCATGGGATGGCATGGGATGGCATGGGATTGGCACGAGATGGCATGGGATTGCATGGGATGGCATGGGATGGCACGAGATGGCATGGGATGGCATGGGATGGCATGGGATGGCATGGGATGGCACGAGATGGCACGAGATGGCATGGGATTGCATGGGATGGCATGGGATGGCACGAGATGGCATCGGATGGCATGGGATGGCATGGGATGGCACGAGATGGCATGGGATTGCATGGGATGGCATGGGATGGCACGAGATGGCATGGGATGGCATGGGATGGCATGGGATGGCACGAGATGGCATGGGATTGCATGGGATGGCATGGGATGGCACGAGATGGCATGGGATTGCATGGGATGGCATGGAATCGCATGAGATGGCATGGAGTAGCATGAAACGGCACCCACCCGTGGGATCACATGCGCCAGCGTAGGTGAGGTAGTAGAAGAGCGACTTCACATTCAGATCCACTGCCACCGCATCGTACCGCACCTTCTCCCTCCATCCCCTCACATCACCACCCCCGGCCCCCCCAGCACCCCCCCCACCCCCACCCTCTGCCGCCTTTCTCTTCCGCTCCTCCTCCTCCTCCCGCTCTGCCTCGTCCCACGGCTCCTCCCAGTCGTCCTCCTCCTCGCCCTCCACCGCATACTGCACCAGCAGCACCAGCGCCGTGGCCAGCTGGAAGGTCGTCCCCGTGTAGAACGGGTTCATCGCCGCGCCCTTGCCCATGCGGTAAGGGTCCGCGTTGAACGCCGACGCCACGCGATTGCGCCCCATGCGCAGCAGCAACCGCCGCACGGGGGCGAGTTGTGCGCGCGAGCCCGTGGCGCGGAGCGAGGCCGTGAAGAGGAGGTCGTAGGCAAACGCCAGCTCGGGGGACGCTGAGCTGTCGCTGCGGGGACCCGTGTTGTACCTTGGGGTGGGGGACGTAGGGAAGGAGGGGGAACGGGAGGAGGGTAGGGGAGGGGGGTGGACGGGAGTGAGAGGGTAAGATGGAGGGATGGTGTGGTGTGTGTGAGTAATGATGGAACCTTAGGAGTAACAAGCTTTTAACCTAGGCAGCAGCAGACTTCATGTACGGCGGGCTGTGTAGCAATTGAATTGACTAGTGTAACTACATGATGCAGGAAGGCGATCCCCATGCTATTTGCACCAGGTCCCTTCCCACCCCCAGCCAGCCATGCCTCACCCACCATCCCCTATCATTCTCTTCCCCTCTATCCCCCTCTCCCCCTCTTCTCCTACCCCCCTCCCACCACCACCCCTCCACCCGCCTTACTTGCAGAAGCCGCCTTCGCCCTTGACGAGCACCAGCGACCCGCGCGCGTGGAAGAGCAGGTGCACGCCGGCCGCCACGGCCAGCACGCCCGCCAGATACTCCAGCCGCTTCTGCTCGCCGCGCAGCCACGCCACGTACGCTGCGTTCTGCACCGCGTCGTACACGGGCGAATAAAACCCCGGAACGCCCGCTTCTTGCGAGGCGAATAGTAATTTTACCCCGAGAGAGGGGGTGGTGTCGGTGGCGGGAGGCGGCGGCATGATCCCGGAATTTTTCAGCACATAATTCTTCGTCGCCGGGGCAACTCCCATGTCGAACATCCGCGTGTAAAAGGCCCCCTGAACAACGGCGCCGGGAGGTTTCGAACCCGGGTCGGTAACGAGCGCCTGGAGCCCCTCGAACGCCTTGCGCGGGTCGCCGCAGGGGCGTTGCGGGGAGAGCGTCCCCGCGAGCACGTCAAAGATCTGCTTTATTGGGGAATCCGCGGCATACACTACGCGCTCCACCCACGCGGAGAGCTCCGCAAACGCCACGCGCGCAACGGCCGTGGGCGCGGGGGGGTCGGAACCCCCCCCACCTTGCAGCGCCCGGCGCGTGAGGTCGGGGCGGTCCGCCTCCGTGAAGAGGATGCGCGGATGCGCGTACGGGGGCGGGGTGGCGGTGAGGCGGCGGCGGGAACCGGGGCGCGGCTGCGCGCGGAATAAGGGGACGGGCCCCGCGTCGAACTGACCTCCCATGATGCCAGAGACCGAGGGAGGCGAGGGAGACGAGGGAGGCGAGGGAGGCGAGGGAGGCGAGGGAGATGATAGAGACGAGGGAAGCGAGGGCACTATCAGAGGCAGGCTGTGAAAGGTGAGTGAGGGGATGGTGAGGGCTCCACCAGGAAATGCTCGATACCACGAATCAGAGGAGCGCGTATGAATAATACTAGATAGTCACTTGCTGGTAGTATTCTTTGACGCGAACAGAACTATCATGGCATGATTGATTTCTAGGTTTCGCCCCCAGAACGAGCAGAGGCAGTGGAGGACTCAGAGAGAAGGCGGAGGCGGTGCAACATTGCGTGCAAGCAAATGGGATTGCGTTGCGGTGCGTGTTGCTTGCTTTGCTTGCCGAGGCACCGACTTGACCGCCGTCCGAGTACTTGACCATGAGATGGGAAAGGACGGCGGCTGGAAGAGGGCGGAGAGGAATGCGTGGGGCGTGTGGGTGGGACGATGTGATGGGCTTGGTTTGCTGCACTGCGCGGAAGGACGAGCAAAGCAAGTGATGGGGAGTGGGGTATCTCAGGGCGTGGAACATGGGTACTGTTCGGCAGGTCTGCAGCCCGCAATTGTTACCAGGCTCGCCAGAACTCGCAGGCGTGTTCAAGATCGGTTGGGATCGGCTGGGTTGGGTATTCAGGCAAAAAAATGCAGTCGGTTGTTATGAATTCCTGGGTTTCGCAACGCATGAGCAAGCAAAGCAAGCAATCGGTATGAAGGCAGGAGAACAAATTCGAAGCGCGGCAGACCCCTCATTCTATTAGAAGCGGAACATAATAACGCTCTAGGAATAGGGACTCAAGCATAAAAGCTTACTCCACGGGGTCACCTCCGAGGGCCCTTGGGTGTCAAGTAAAACCAGCCCTTATCCAAGGGTACGTGTTTGAAGAGAGTAAGCCAAGTATAGCCTTGGTCAACTTCCTATTGAGCCTTCCTCCAGCATAAACGCAGCGGACATGTGACAACTTGGTGCGGGTGCAGCGATTCCCTCACGTCAATACGATGATAGGAAATGTTTCATTCATAAAAGAATATCATACAAATGAAACACAAGCACATATTTAATATAATAGTCCACCAAAGGCAAAAGCAAGCAGCCCACCCATCACTAGCTCGATCCACACTCCAAAAGCTTCCGATGTTGTAACACAAGATCGTTGCCATAACAAACCATACTCTCCCACAATTGCACCTGCGAAATCCGCCCATTTCACTTGCATATTTCACATGAAAGTTGGACACCATTCACTCCACATTTCACATGTGAGATCCCACGTATTTTCACCTGCAAACCCCAAATGCAAATAGTGTTATGCGTAGGTGGACGCGAAATCCACCAGACACCACGAACCCCAACCTGAAACCATGCATAATTCATCTGAGCATATCTTCCCCATGCATTCTCTTACGATCTCGTCCCCTTCACTTACTTTCCCACGCCATATACAAGGCTTAAGGTGTATATGGTAATTGCTTAAAGGCAAACACCATGCACCTTGCGAGACTCCTAATGACCTCCCATAAAGCTCCCACAATACTCTTAAACCAACCTCCTAAGTCCTCCATAAAACCTCCATAAGTTCCCCAAGGGACTCACATGTGACTCCCATGTGACTCACGCGTGACTCCCATGTGACTCCCATGTGACTCCCGTGTGACTCCCGTGTGACTCCCGTGTGATTCCCATGTGACTCCCATGTGACTCCCATGTGACTCTCGTGTGACTCCCATGGGACTCCCATGGAACTTTCATGGGACTTCCATGGGACTTCCACAGGACTTCCATGGGACTTCTATGGGACTTCCATGAGACTTCACCAAAGCTCTTCTTGAGCTCTTCCTCGCACATATGAACCCTACAACCAATAGAACCACATAACCCAATATGTTTAACTACGGGACCTTCAACTAGCTCCTTCTATGATGGTTCATCCTCGACGAATAGGCGGCAGGTTGAAGTGCAAAAACCGATTTTGCACCAACAAACTCCCCCTCAACCTGGCGGCTATTCATCACCTCCAGCAATAGCTTCAACGATAATATTCTTCACCCATGTCTTCAGCACAGGGACTAGGTTCCCAACATTGCCCACCTCAGCATTCTTCTCAACGCCTTAGTCAATGAGCTTCAATGCAGCAGACACCTTCACTCCATCATTTTGGGAGGGATTCCTTTGCTTCCCTTCGCATATAAATTTTGTGAGATCCACCACGATCTGCTTCTTACTACCACACGGGGATTCTTCAGCTTCCTCCAAGCTAGGCAGCTCCTTGGACTCTCCTTTCACTCTTCGTCCATCGGCCTCCAAGCCCAACAGCTTCTGTAACACCAGATTTCCTTGCACAAGCGAAGGTCTCTTGGTTTGCACATCGTTCAGCACCACCTTGGAGTTCCCTTTATCTGCGGCTTCCTTGTCCAGAAATATCGGCGACTTCTCATTCACCATATGGCCTCCATCAGCTTTACTGTTCAGCTTCACATTAGCCTTTAATGACTGCTGCTCTTGGTTTGCACTCTTGTGCATGCCATGCTTCTCATCAGCAACAACAACCATGTTACTCCCCCTGGAGTCTACAACTCTGTCCTTGTCACCCTTCCCTGACATTTTCTCAGCAGCTTCAAGACGAGCAGTGACATGATGCAACTGCTGCACCAAGTTCTCAACTACCGCTTTCAGCTCCTTCACAGCCTCCTTAGCACTTGTAGTACTCTCCCCCTGGCCGCTGCACTTCTCCACGTTTTTTTATGTCCTTTCATTCCATGGCAGCATTGGCACATGCCACATCTCTTCGTGCACATTCTTGCTATCATGCAATTCCTACAAGAATCGGCCATTGAGATGCCCTTTGAAAGATTCAGCTCTATTGGTTGCTGTGCTCACTCCAGCAAGTCCCATCTTCCTCAAGGAGATAAGGTTTGCTTTCAGCTCCGGCACCAAGAGCACATCATCCAGGATCATCGGCTTCCCATCAGCTCCCTTGGAGGCTGATTTGTCGACTCCCACTGCGTTCATCTCATGCCCACATCCTAAGACCATTTCAGTGATAGGGGACTTGTTGATGCTACCTACAGGTCCGCCCTCGAGGTTATGTGGTACGCTGCTCCAGAGCCCAGAATCCAAGTATTGAGGGGATCGAAGCTATTGCTGGAGGCCGATACATTCTCACTTCCCTCTTTCCCTTGCACGTGGAAGAAAGCACCTAGAGCTAGCCCACTATCCTTTTCCCTTCCCTTTGAAGTCTCTACTACAAATCCAGGTCCCTTTTGCTGGTTGTCCTTATCCTCATTCTCCTCATGCTCAGGGGTCCACCACTCAGGTCGTGACCAACACTTGAGCCATGTACAGTGGCGGAATAAATTGTCCACATGTTCAGCCTTTTTTGGCATTTTGATGAGTGCAGCGATGTAAACATTAAGCCTTAATGTATGGTGTGCATACACGCTGAGAAGTTCAGTTAGAGCACTCACTCGAGTTGACAAACACCAAAGTAGTACCACACATGGTCCTTAAACACCTAAGCATAGCATAGGATAACATCCGGACAATTTGTACCGAAAACTGGTAGCATACTAGATTCTGTGAAAACTAGTGCCTAGTCCAGCGTCCCTTTGCCCGAATCACTGCCTTGATCCTCCTCGGCAGGCTGTCGATCAGGTTTGCACACACCTCTGCCGGTATCTTGTCCCATTCCTCCTGCACCCTCTCCCACAGCTCCAACATTCCACTAGGTGGCTTTTCGTACTTCCCCAGCTGCCTTTTCAAGTGTGCCCACAGGTGCTCAATGGGGTTAAGGTCCGGGGAGCATGACGGCCATTCCAGCACCGCGTACTCCTGCTCCCCAAGCCAGTCTTGGACCAGACGAGACCTGTGCTTGGGATCATTGTCGTGCTGGAAAATGACCTCTGAGGGGGAAAGCTTGAAAAAATCGATGGTCTGTTTGAGCTCATCTTGCAAGATGCTGCGATACAGCGGCCCATCCATCCTGCCATCTATCTTGCACATGAACCCCGCCCCCTCATACGTCATGCAACCCCACACCATCACAGAACCGCCCCCATGCTTAACTGTCTGTTGGACTTGGTGGCTCCGAAGGCTGGTGCCCTCGCGAATCCAGGCGTACGCACGTCCGTCGGAGCAGTAGCGGTTTATCTTTGTCTCGTCAGACCAAATCACCCGCTTCCAGTCCTCCAGCGTCCAATCAGCATGCGACCGCGCGAAGTCGAGACGATCTCGGATGTTTTTCGGTGAGAGCCTGGGTTTCTTGGGCTGATGCACGGCGATCAGCCCCGCGGATCGTAATGAGTTCCGTACCGTCTTCGAGTCTACGGCGAGATCGTGCTTCTCCAAAAACATATATGCCGCGTCTACAGAGCTTTTCGCCTCGCCGCTTGTAATCGCGCGTATTATTCCGCGCTGGAGACGGGTAGTGATTAAGCGGGGGCGGCCGGCCGTAGGCATCGTAGGTCGCACCTCCTCGCGACTAGTCTCGGCAGCCACTTTCAAACCGTAATCGTGCACGGTGCTCTTGCCTATGCCAAGAACTTTGCCTATTTTCCTAGTCGAATGGCCCGCACGCAACATGCTTATGATTCGCGCGCGCTTCCGCTCATTTAACGGCTTCATGGCGATGCGGTCGTCGGCTCGCTCTCGGACTAACTCCTAAGCCAGCAACTATTGCGCGTGACGATGTACACACCGAGTGACGGGGGAAAATAGATCTACTCTTCCGCTCGGTAGGAAATGTCCGCTTCGATAGTCGAGGAGTAAATTTCAACCCCACTTTCCGGTTGTGTCACAATCGCGCCAAGCAAGAAACGGTTGAAGCAGAACTCGAACACCTTGTAACGGAATGGCAAAAAACAGGTGTTACTATTTTCGAAACATGTGTGGCATAGCGATATGTTTCAAAGTGTTAAACATCCGGGCAATTTATTCCGCCACTGTATGTCCCGACTTCTTGCAGTACCAGCAAGATCCCTTGAACCGACCACCTCGCTCTTCATGATCGTGATCGGCTTCTTCATGCTGCTCTCTAGGATTCCTCCTGTTCCCATAGCCTCGTCCATGGCGACGTCTATCATTGAACCAGCCTCTACCTCCACCCTGGCTGCTTCCATGCATTGCATAGCTGCCGTGACCATCATCATTGTTCCTCAGCTGCCTCCTCCCCAACTTCTCCTCTAGGATCCGAGCCCGCACCCACTCCAACGTCCAGAGCCCTTCATTTTGCGGTAAGCTCATACCAGAGATGAATTGCACCCATGATTCCGGCAGCAAGGACAACATCTTCAAACACTTTGTCTTCTTGGGGTAGGTGATGCCTACAGTAGTTAGCTTAGCGTAGAGTTCTCGCACCTTGTCAAGAACCGGCTGAATCGGATCCCCTTCATTCAGGTGGAGTGATGCCAG